TATACATACATACACATGCACACACTGAGGCTGATATCTTATAAAATCAATAATTGTATAAATTATGGGAAGATTCACTTTTATTATCCAATCATTTTTAAAGCAAATTCCTGTTTATTTACTTCCTCTGCATCTGATTTGATAAATTAAATTACTTTTTTGTGTGGGAATTCTTAACTACTTATTTAGTGAATCAGCATCAATATGTGTATATACACACGAATAAATATACACATATCAATTTGTTATTTCATTGCAAAAAAGGTCTAAGTCATAATAATCGTAACACAAGAACATCCGTTTGCAGTATTATTGCTGCTTTATTTCCGCCACAGTGTATTAGTTCCATAATGATGCTTTTTAAAATAAGATGTAAGATTTTTGGACACACATCTAATTGCAATCAAACAGGTTTTGAAATCTTTGCAAGGGAGTTACAGGGGCTCAGGTTCGGTGAGGATGCAGAGTTGGAATGCTCTCTCCCATGTCATCCTATGTGGTAGGGAACATTACCGGATTGTTTATGGATGTGTGTAGAGGTATCTGTGTTTGATTACTGGCAGGGAAATGAAGACAGTTTACTATTTGTCTCAGAAGATGCGAAGATGTTGTCTTTCCATTCCCCGAAGATATACATAATTAGAAAGCAATATTAATTTCATGGGTAGGATATCCAGTGCTAGGGAGAAGAGATGGCAATATTTCAAGTGAGCTGGACAGAGGAAACCAGAGGGCGCAACATTACAGAAAGTACCTAATAGGTGAACTGTGACATCTATCTATCTATCTATCTATCTATCTATCTATCTATCTATCTATCTATCTATCTATCTATCTATCTATCTATCTATCTATCCATCTATCTATCCACCCACCCATCTCAAATCTATCTCATAATCTTTTATCTTATCAATGTAATAATATACAACGAGCAAATCTGTGCAGCAATCTACAGTAATCACTACTATCCACAGAATCGTTTGAATATAGCTGATCGTACTGATGAAATGATTATATACATCACACAAATGTCCTTTACACTGTTATTACACACACGCACAGTTGGAACTGTCAAATGTCGCCTTGTCTGTGACATGAGGGAACGAATCGATCTGCCATTGGGGCGAACATGGGCCAACAGTTATGTGTATGTCTGGCATTTCTATGAGGAAATAACTGAACATACAAAGTCCCATAATAGAGAGATATACACTGTATATTATTGTAATACTCTTTCTGGAACACCTTGATGTTCTTGTACTTACACAGAAATTGAGCTCCTCTCAGTTGTGTGCGGGGGCAGCGTTTTCCGATTAATAAAAACTGATCAAAAAGTGAAATGTGGGCAAAATAATATTGTGCTCATATAAGAAAGAGTGGGTACAAAAATGTAAAAGTGACTGGAGGCATGGCCTCAACTACTCAACTTCTCGTTGGTCACAGTTCCCTATACCTACTTATACTAAAATAATAAACTGCTCCTAGTTAGGTAAATTAGGTGAAGCTATATCCCATTTAAATACTCAGTCATTCTAAAATAATTACAAAATATTTTTTTCCTGAACATTGTTGGATGTTTGAAATGCACACACTAGTCAACTGATTATTTAAATGGACAATCTCTACTCCTTTAGTAAGTCATTCCCTTCCCCAATTACCATCTAGGAGCCCAACAGGTGATATTTCCATAAGAGGCGTCTTATCCTCTA